CCCCAAAACCCCAAAACCCCAAAACCCCAAGATATTAAATAGTTAGGAATTTGATTCGAGTTATTAAAATTATGAAATCAATACAGATTTTATACATTGAAAGTCATTGAAATCAATTGTCATATACACTCAATACTAATAGTCATCAGCTTATTGTTATTCTTTCATGTTGAATTCCTGTACTATTATTATTCATAAAGCTGTCTGCAGATTGAATAGCCGACTCAGTCCTCTTTTTAACTTTGCACACCTTCTCATAGAATTCACACAGCAACAAAGGGTTCTATTTTTTAATCTCACTATTGGTGTAAATAGTCTCTTCAGGCTAGACTCCATTAGGTCTCTTCTGCCATTGCACAGTTAAGAATAATCTACCACATTAGTATTGAGCCTTTAGAATCTGTAATGGCATATCTGTCTCGAATGTGCCATTTTTTGGCAAGTTGCCTAAGTCAATGTTGGTCATTTGATTAATCCCGTTACTAGTTGTTGAGTTTGATGAAGGTATTATGACTCCATGGCTTTAGTTTGAAAATGTGTCAATTATTGTATTATTATGAGGGTCATGAGCATGCTAGGCAACGATACTTGCATCTTTATTCAATCTCTAATCGCTTATGCTACTGCTATTTTCACTTGTTTCTATTTTCATGAATCAATAAGTGTAAAATGATAAAATATAACTTACTTTATTTTTTTAATTGTGGCAGGGAATGAAGGATTTAGCTTTCAGTTTATAAATCATGGGGTAGTGCGGCATTTTCTCTGAATTTAGAGTCTCTTGATTTCTTAAGTCTCTTTCTCTTCTCCTAAAATAGAGAATTGCTAGAATTATTTAGCGCACTATTGAAGTTATTAGTGCTATTTTCAGTAGTTGAGTTTTGCTTTATTTAATTGTTAAGGCTGCTACTCTCTTGGTTTCTTTTTCTAAGGAGTTGCTCTTTCACACTTAGATAGGAGCTGGTACTCTGGTTTTGGTAATCATTACTAGGACCGTTTACTGCTAAATTAATGATTAATAATTGATAAAGACATACTATTTGCAGTGGCTAAGCCGTTATTAATAGTTGAATGCTAAGCAGACTCGTTATTGATATTGCTATTAATAGGTGCCAAATTATTAAATGCTTAGACCATCCATAGCACACTCTAGAGGTTTTCTATTGGTTCCCATGAGGTTTCATTATAGCCTTTCCACTTTACCTCGTAATACTCTTGACCATTCTGCACTGCCTTTGTTAGTATCTTCTCAACTTCGTAGAGTTCGTCGCCGTTTCCATTAGGTATTGAGTCCATAAGTTATTTTTTCTATTTCCCTCAAAAATCAAAATTAATTATTATTGATTTATTAAATTTACTTCCACTTTTATAAATTTTTTTTAAACTCATGGGGTTTTGGGGTTTTGGGGAGATCG